ATCTTACTGGGTGGTCAATGCCACGCTTGGGATAACCAGAAAATTACTCCAATGTTGACAATTTCTTTGTCGGATAAATTGTAAAGTCTTTTAGTATTTTACATTTGAATCAGTTTTTGGAGGTGGTTTATGTTGTTACATTGGTTGGGCCAAAGGACTTTTCATGATTGTGCAGTCGTAGCGTGATGTTGCAATATGGAGCGGCGGCATTGACGATGGTGATCCGCTACACAACTTTCGATCCCCCTCCCTCCCTCCCTCCCTCTATCTATCCATCTAGCTCGTCAGCTTTCACACAAAGGCATTGTTTAGTTTGGGAAAAAGAATAAAGAAAAGTGAAGGAGGGGCAGTAGGATTGGAGGCGCAGGAGATGGAGAAGAATTTCTTCTTTAACTAGGTAAAATGCCATTAGGAGACGATGTCATTCATCTGCCGCACCTCTTTCACCCCCTCAACTTGCACCTGGTCCCACATGAAGGACCAAAAGCCTCCCATCTGTTGAACGAAGGAGAGAGAAAAGTCAGTACACCATTTGTAGTTATGGCCTTCCCCGCCTTGAGAGTTCACACTTCTACACTCAGGAATAAATGATCCTCTCAAAAACAGTAAAATCTGAACTCGAAAGATGATCACCTGAAGGTGGCTCACTGCTCCTTCAGTGCGAAGGTGCCTACAGCACCGCTATCACTCTGGTAAATCAAACAAATTGGTGACAGCAGTTTCGTAATCTGTACAAATTACGGAAGACCACCACCACCGCCGCCGCCGCCGTCGCAGCGGATGTATGTTTTCTGCTCCTTTTTATGTGGTGCGTAGATAATAGGGATAAAATGTTCATAAAATCAACTCCCGACTATCGCATAAAACAAAGTAGTGTTTGGTATTATTTTCCAACACAAGCGCATTCCTTCTTCACCAGAGGCGCGGAAGTTGTCCATTAATTTACAACTTTCTCCTTTTTATTTCTTTGCCTGCGTTTAAGTAGCTCCATAGTAAATGCAATTTCCAAAATTTAATCCCTTTTTTTGGGTTCACTTGACCTTTATTTTCTTACCACATTTTAGGTGAGCGAAAAGTTTTCAAAGAACACAATAGCATGAAGGTTGGATGCGTAGTTGTTCCACTTCCATTTTCCAGTGCCGTAATTTACGAGATCATTAGTTAACAATGATACTGTGTAGGCGTATTTTTTTGGAGTTTTTCCAGTGCTTCTTTGAAATCAAACAAAGACAGAACGTGAAATTGTCGATGTGGAGAAAATTGGAGAGGCATTTGTATGATTTGGAGGCTATTCCGCTCCTGAAGTACGTGTTACTCCAGAACGAAGAGTGAACTGACAATCGGGGAATTGTATAGTTCGTCCCTTCTTTTGAACACCGTATTCAACGCCTTCTCTTTTGTCGCTCCTTCTCGCCGATTTTGGCAAAATAATGAATGGCTTAGGCCTGCACCCACGAACTGATCGCAACAGTTTGTGTAGGATCAAAATGTTACAGCACCTGGATTTTTGTTCCATTTGGAAATTGTGTTGAGAGAGAGGAAGGAATGTGCTGCCCATCATGGCGCTCATGGCTACTTGTAGGAACACCTGCCTTAGGGCAGGTCCGTTTGATGAATTGTTGGGTTCAAGATAAGCTTGTGGACTGACAACTTTCTTTCAACGTTAGCGCTGACCAGTCATGTCCACCTTGGTTTAACAATAGGCAGGTTCCTCAGACTGCTCCGTGAGTTTCACGATTGGCTTGGAGACACTTGTCAGTGGCATTCGTGCAGAAATTGAGACTGGGGCGCCATTCTCCCTCCTTTCGTTTGGGTCGTCACAGTGTCTTACTGAAGCTCCGCTTTTTCAACCAGTAAAGTAGTGTCCTACAGCTTCTTTGCTATTGAAAGACGGGATACATTTCAGACGTCGAGATCAGCTTGCGGTCACTCAAACCAACCGGAGGCAGTCGCCCCGCCGCGCCCCGAAGTTGAAATACTGTCGCAGGGCTTTTGACGTCCATAAAACCCAAAGTAATAGCTTAGTGAACATGTGCAGTTGTAAACTTTATCTACCCTTCTTATTGGGCTAAAAATAATGGCGTCAGGGGTGTTTTGCTTAAAATTGACTTTGGAATATTTTGTACCTCCGAATTTGTCAGCAACGATTTTCTACCGGTTCGGCGGTTAGTTCTCAACAGTTTTATGATAAAAACACACGTCAGTATCACAACTACAAACGCTTACCTCCCTTTTTTTACCGCGAAAAATGTGTCAACAAGAGCATTTGAATTGCTTAGTGAAAGACTAGTTCTGGTGCTGCATATACTACTGAATTCTTTAATTAAGGAAACAGGCTATGTTACTGTTGGAAGGCGCTTTCCATCCATATTTACCATAAAATGTCAATCATTTCATGCTCAATTTTTAAGGGACTACTAATCTTAAGTGGTAGAAAAGGGTTGTGCTTTTAGCATCAGTACGCTTTGCATATGCGTTAGGTGGACCCAAAGAGTTTGCCCGCACACAAGTTTGGAGTGGGGTGGATCGCATATAATCCAACATCCTTCAAAATAAAGGGAGTCATTCGGCCATTTAAAGCTTAATTGGGTTTTATTACACATTTGCTACATTTCTTCATGGCGAAATTGGACTAATTCCTTTCTGAACTCCTGGAGGCAAGGAGGTGTGGAGTTGTCGTTCAATCAATCACTTTTTCAGACTCTTTAAGATGCACTCTTTTAAGTTTAGTCAACTATTTTGCATTCAGTTCACCTTTCCAGAAAAGCGGAAATAGCTACGCTCGCTGAGTTGACTATGAGGGATTCTTGGTGTTATTTGGACCTTTTTTAGAGAGTCGAGGAATTTGCAGTGTAGGATCGGCGGGTGTGGAGGAGGTCGCTTCAGTAGCCTTGAGCCCCAGGGAACAACGAGCCCTCCGACGGAAGGAGAAGTCCCGACTTGCTGCAAAAATGCGACGAAATCAGGAGAGCAACATCCTCTTCTGTCTGCTTAGAGCACTGCCAGTCTCGCTGCCTGACACCGCCGGGTCGGAGGGCAGCATAAAGACCGCTCCGTCTGGACTAAATTTGGAGAAATCTGGCGTCATTCGAATGGCCGGACAGACCCTCTTCCTTTACAATTCGCTTTCCCGAGGTGGGCTGTCTTCACGCTTTTGTCGGTGACTTGACCATGGACAATTTGTGCCCTGAACCTTCATAATTAATTCAAAATATGCAACTAGTTAAACTTTTTACACGCAATGGATGCATATTTTTCCTACCACCGGTTGACTCTAGTCTGTTTTGGAAGTGGCCAACTTAGACATCCCTCGGTAAATAACGCCACGGCTATTTGGTTCTCCACTGCCTTCGACTTTATGAACATCTGTTTACCCAAATAAGGCTCCTTTACAGTCTCAATAAATTTTGGTTAGCGGAAAGCCAGATTTCGTCAAGTTTTCCCCATTGTTATTGTGAGGAAATGTGTTTCCTTAGACCAGTAGTAAGTTTTAAGGCCAAAATTGCGTCATACAATTAAGCAACTTCTATTCCGACTTTTCTGCGACTCTTTGTGTTTTGCATGACTGCGATTAAATGCTACAAACTCCTCCAAAGATTGTCAAAATGCCAGCGAATCTGACGCCTTTCAAGGCAAATCATTGCTTACAAGTAGACTCTAATCCTATAATTTAAATTTCCCTTTGTGTTGTAATTTTCTTGGGAAATTAATTTCGAAGCATACAGTTATGAATTTTGCATAGGTGCTTTTGCAGCCCCTCGAGACCTCCCAGAGGGCAGAAGGAGGGGTGGGGGTGGGGGGAAGCTTTCTCACTGAAGTATGGAAGGGTCGAGGGTCATGCAATCCAGTTTGGAGGTCCTAGAAATGCCCACAGAAATAAAGCTAGAGGCTGAGCAAACGATTGAAGGATAACCGAACTTCCATTACCTCCTTTGGGCAACCTCCTGTGTCTGCCACCTAAATGTGGTTGGTGCTGTAAGGCACTGGAATGTTGTGCAAGGGGAAACATGTTCGACCAAAACAACATTAATTTCTCTTGACAATTTTACTGAACTTGGAGGTTCTTTCTGGTTGGCAAGGGGGCGTGCACTGGACTTTTCGTATCTCCATTCCACCAAAAAAAGACCATTTGGTGAAGGACGATTGGTAGGACATTTTTTTTGCGGATAAAAGGTTTCCCAATTGGTCTTCCTTGTTACTGTCCTCATTTCAATGCTAACCAACCGTGTATCCACTTGGATTTAATCCAGTTAGTAGAGGAGGAACTGCGTGCTTAGCTTGGTTGTCACCATACAGTTCCATTCGTCAAAGGTAGTCGACGTTCTCAAACCGAGGAATGACTTCTGACGTCAGGTGTGCTTTCCACTGTCTCCACTGTGGTTCCTCAACACTTGCCTGAAGTGGTGTACAGAAAGAATTGGGACGGTTGTCGACATGGCGGTGAGACCCTGGCAAAACACTCACGTCAAGGAAGGCACAGAATGAGCTTTACACCCTCACTATTTCACTAGAGGTTGGCCTAAATTCCATAGACAATGTCAGCAAATCCAGTTGTGTTGTTCCATCCTTGACTCATTAACACCAATAAAAAAAGCGAAGCTGTTTCATGACACTTTCCTTTTTCCCTTTTCCACTGAAAACATGCACAGGCCAGGGGAGGAAAAACGTTCTCCAGAATATCAAATGAATAGGAATTACAAGCTGCCCCAGAATGTGTGTCTATGTGCATGTAGAATTTAAGAGGCATTAACAATTCCATTGTTATGTCCCGTAACTTTTTTTTCCCCAACTCGTCTTAGACGCAAACAAAACCACTGCTGGGTAAATGTAGTGACAGGGACTGAAAAACCCACTTAGCCACTCTCAGCCCCTCGTACAACCACTTGATGGTATGTAATGCGGTAACCATTTTTTTTACCCTCCCTTTTCGCCTGTACGCCTGCAGAATGGTCTGACCTCAGCCTCGGGGTCTCTTCATGTTTAAGCCTTCTGCTTTCGTTATGAAAATCAGTCGTTCAAGAATTAAGAAGGCTTGTCTACTGCCACACAACTCAGCATAGCATTTTGACAATCGGCTGAGACAGCGTCAATCCGCCTGTTTGATGGTGACAAAATTGGAAGTCAATGTTTTGCGTCCAGACGTGGAGGTCTGAGAAGACAGCCACAAAACGAATGATTGTGAGATGAGAACTGGATCTAGAGCGTGCTTTATTTATTATTCGAGGCCGATTCCTAACCAAAGTGGGATTTAATTTGACATGTGTTTGAAGGAAAACAGCAACAACAAAAAAAAACGTTTTTGACAGAACGTAATTTGTTTTACTCTTCTATTTTTAAGTCTTAGGAACGAAAGCAGTGCCATTTATCAGTCTCCTCAGCAAATCTCTCTACGGCCTCCTCGTTCATCCGACGGACTCCACGGTGGTCTATGCAACACCACCGTTGGCAGAGGCTATCAACTGGCCCTGGGTAGGTCATGTGTTCAATTCAGGTCAGACCATGTGTCGTAGCCTTGAGGACAAATTTGGGGGGAAAGACTTTATGCTACAGGGAATGAATTTATGCATCCCTCTGGATAGAGGAATTTCAGCGCACTAGGGATGGCTTTAAAGAAAGGAGGGAGAGAGGAAGGGATGGGGGGATGGAAGAAGAGGAGGAAATTCCCATCAAGCCAAGAATAGAGTTCAAAAAAGGTGAAGGAATCCAAACTTAATTTTTGTGGACTTGTGCCTTTAAGGAGTATGCAGCATCTCGAACTTCTGATTTAATAAAGCTTTCTCTTGTCACATTCTTGCGGGACGTTTATTGTCTGCTAACTTTCATGGAGGAAGAGTGTTAAGCATTGGAAACACGAAGGCCTTATGTTAATGACTATGTGAGTAAGGAGATAATCCCGCATCCATAATGGGCTTTGTAGAAGAACTGTCCCACAACACAGACGATCATTTGCCTTAGTCTTTTTGGAAGTACATTACAGCACTCTCCTAGTTGTTGAAAGGATAAAGAAAGCACAAGAAAAATACGATCAAAAAAATACATTGGCCTACTTATTTGTTACTTAAGTAGCATCGAATTGGGGCAAATGGCATAAATCCACTCCTTAAGGAGTAATTTTCTCATTTCAGTGCATTTTCAACCAATTATTACGTTTTAGACCCTTTTAAAGTCGAAATTCGCTCAAGATAGTTTGAAAATGCACTTTTTTGCCCATAACAACGCACTATCCCACCTTGAAGGCCATTCTGGATGGCTATGATAAAACCGGATTACCAAGATGGTAAATTATACGACTACGCATACATCCATCGCACTACAACTATATCAGCTTTAATGGGGTCATTAACTGTTCACATACCTCATTCACTCCTTTCCATCACTTTAAAACAGTCCAACAACCCAACAGAACCGGAGGCAGTCATTAATGGGAGATGATTTTGTCGATCTAGGGTATATTGGCTGAAGTATTTTGCAGAGCATCACATTTCAGCATATCTCAAAATTTTAACTTGCAAAACAAGAAATTTGTCTTACGTTTTCCATTCTCTCCTACTCTCCTTTTTCAATAGATCAATCTCATTGGAGTGAAATTGGAGAGTCTGACAGACGAAGGAAAACTGCCGGAGAGAGCTGGTGAGACGGTGAATCTACGCGTTCTTGAGCAGACAAATTCACCCACAAAGAGCTCCGTCCACAATCGTCCATCCACACCTCTGCGTTCACCCTCTTACTCTCCGACCTCCACTCTCTCCACCTCCACCTCAGGAGGGGACCAAACTTCACCCCTCTGGTCCCCGCACCTCTATAGAAGCAGTAAGAATGGAACGTCTGGAACGTTTACTGGAACACACTTCACGACCATTTCAGGTGGCAATAAGGCAGTTCCTTACCTTGTAAGTTGAAGAACCCGCTAAGCTAACCAAACATTACTAAACTGGGTTCATCACAGAGGCAGTCTCAATTTGTCATTGAAGGTGATGGTGATTCAAAGTGGAGTGAGAGTGGTGGAGAGCTTTGAACTTATGACTGAACTTTTATCTGCACTTCAGAATGCATGCCTATCTCCAAGTGGAAATTTCTTGCATCTCTCCACAGATTACAGCAAATTATTGCAGCCAGGTGAATCGTAAACGGCATGAACTTTTTGATCACCTGATACTAGATGTTTCATTTGGACTTCAACCGCAGAATGTAGCTAGTTGAAACTTATTTAGTATCTACAATGGCATCATTTTGACAACGAAAGAGGCACCGGAAGGCGATAAGGTTATGTAGCACCCTGAGGTCATCGAAAAGGCTTGGCCTGAATTGCACCACAGGATTAGCC